AGCGACTGATTCTGTGTAGCCCTTTATGGATCCTGGCAAGGGCTTTGTCTTTGACACATCGTTTAGTAATTTGCTCAGTCTCATAGTTCTCTACAGCATTGCCCATTTTAAATGCAAAAAAAGATGTGGATGGTATTGTTAGTTTTGACGAAGGTGTAGTGAAATGGTCAGTTAGAACTAAAAGGAAAAATAAATAAATAAAAACTTAGCTCCACGTGGGGGACGCTGCGTTCATTTGAAGAAAACGATGCCGAAAAGAATATGGGAAAATTGACAAAGGTAAATAATTGCACAGACTCACAAGAAATTAAGTGCTCTCCTGTAATCCTTGCTGCAGCGAGAACGATCTGGGTAATGTCCTGAAGGTTCTGAGGTGACGTCGGTTAACGGAGTTTGTGCTCGGGTGAATTCAGGTCCGGCAAGGAAAGACAGAAATTAGAATTTTTTCGTGGAAATTGACTTAAAGGGATAGAAGAACATAAGCTCAATTAATGAAGCTTTGACAAGAAAAGGCATACGGACACAAAACGCGCGCTAGCACAAGTCGAAACCAGCTGTGTCTATGTTAGCGTATCCAAACAGCACTAGAAAAAGTTTCAAAAGTAGAGGAAAATGTGAAGCTAAAAATCGAAAATGCACAAAACCTGCAAAGGTTTTCTGGAAATTACACATGTTCGCGTGCGACATCCTCCATAAGTCCCAAACAGTAGCTACAACGGAGGTGAGGCTGAAGTTTAACACAAAAATCAAAGAAAATGATTTTTAGCCGTGTGTTAATTTTGGCTGAACGCGCAAAGCAGACTTGTATGCTTGCTTGGGACGTAGTCAATCAATACGCTAGGTCCGTTATTCGAAAGGCTGGTTCAAGATTTGAATCAGGAGCATCTATCAGATCAGCCATGAATGCGCCTGAACTGCTCTGTTTATTTGAAGACTTAAGCACGAGAGGGTAAGATTCACCTTAGGTCTGGGTGTAACTTGATGCTGTCCCTTTGCAGGCTACATAAAATTGGCTCGGAGAGTTCAGTCCAGCTCACTTCAGTTTATTGAGGTAAATAGGCGTAAGCATTTGAGTATCCAATTTGTAAAGTAAAAATGCGTAGTGCATAGAAGACGTTACTGTATTGAAATTTTTCAAGCGAGCTCATAATGATAAGACAAAATAGGAACAAGTTACACGGGCTGAGCTCGACTTCTCATAGCTCTTGTTTGTTTCGAAACATAAATATACCAAGGTTCTTTTAAGAACTTGGTATAGATGATGAAATCATAACACCTGCGGGAAAGGCATTCTATGGTTTGCCCACTTGAACAGAGAAGGAGAACCTCTGCACGTCCAGCCTTGTCTGTTAAGTGCGCAGTTTTCTGTAACTCAAAGGGAAGAGATTTAGATTTATTAGACGAGTTGCATAAGGATTGGAGCTTTGACCGATAACAATCTTCGTGGTTCTCCTCTGAACTCTATCAAGGTAGTTTTGATCCTCAACCGCCAACGGTCCCCATGCTTGTAGGCCGTACTCCAAAAGCGGCCGGACGAATGTTCCGAATGTCTTTGAGAAAGCATCATCATCAAAATCCATAAGCGAACGCTTGATGACGTACAGTGTGGACGTTGCGCTCTTTGCCTCTCTCGATCAATAAGCGGAGATTTTGGGGAGTGCGCCGTCAGCACACGGAGGTCCTTTTGAGCTTCGACCTCTTGTAGGGTTGCACCGCCCAGAAAGTAGTCCCTTGTGCTGGCGGATCTGGCTTTGTTGCCTAGGCGAAGTATGATACATTTATCAACGTTGGACAGTAGGTATCAACGTTTTGGCCACTCTTCCAACCGATTTAGGTTCATTTGCAGTCTGTCTTCGTCGGCAGGACCCCGAATTACACTCCATATCTTCATGTCGTCGGCAAGCATTGCTGATTTGCAGTCCAAAGCTCTTGCGGCATCGTCCACGTATATGAGGTCTCAGTACACAACCCTGCGGACACCGTTCTCGACCACAGCAGGATCTGATTTCCCTTGCCCGATGCGGATGACCGGCTGTCGATCCACAAAGACGTTTTCGATCCATTTAAGGAAGTTGTCGATGACTCCTATTTTAATTATCTGTAACAGCCTCTGGTGTGGCACAATGCCGAAAGCCTTCTTTAAGTCGATGAAAGCCATGCAGACCGAGTGCCTGTCGTCGAGAACTGGGGTCCAGCTCTGAAGCGATTACGGCAAGTTCGTCGTGCATGATCATCCTTTCCGGAACCCATGCTGGCGATTCCATAGCAGGCCGTGAACTTCCAGGAAATGCATCAACCTACTCTTTTTGATCCTTTCCATAACTTTGCAAAGAATTCATGTCAAGCTTATGAGCGTGCAATGTTTCGTCGTTGTCTTGCTACCTCCTTTGTATAACGGAGTAATATGCGTCAGCTTCCAATTGATAGGAAGTGTTCCATTGTCAAATTACCTTTGAAAGAGCATCGACAAAGAAAAAAATGCTCAGTGGCAAGTTCTTGAGAAGCTTGGATTGAATCTTGTTTGGCCCTGACGACTTCGAATCGTTCAGTACCTCTAATGCTTCTGGAACAATGGCTTCTGAGAAGAGTAAATCACTTATGCTTGGGGTTGGCTGTTATTCTCTTTGATTGAGAAAGGAACCTTGTCTCTTTTTGTAGATAAATTGGAAAATTGTGGAAAATATGCAGTTTTATACCTACTATCAGCAATCAAACGCCGTCAATAGTCCTTATTAAGCGTATTTGATGTCTGTTCCTTGTTATTCGTCAGAGGTAGCCATAGGGAAATTTTTGGTTCTGCGTTGCTTTTTGCGGCAATTTCTTCTCGAATTTCCATCGCGATTTTATAATCACGTTTCTCAGTTTGTTACCCGGTGCCTTTTATGTTTTGATGCAGCATTGTCTGCAAAATTTCTGTTTCCTGTTGATTTCCTTTTTAAGGCTGCCATTTAGCCACACAGGCCACCTGTCCAGTCTTACACTGGTCAGTGGGCAGTGGTTATTGATGAGCTGCAGAAGGACATTCTTCAACAATTCACTGTCATCGTTGGCATTGCGCATAAACAGTGAGCTCTAGTTGAGACATGATAAGTCTGCCCTCATCAGATCAGAGTATCAGCGCCAAACATAGCGTCTTTTTGATATGGATTATGCGAAATGGCGAATAACCAATAATTCCACATAATCACTGCATGGTCACTCCGGCCAAAGGGCGGCATGGAGACGATCTCGTCGATGCTGTCTGGTGCTTTCGCAAAAACCGGACCCAGGCAGTTCGTCATTTGTCCTTCATCTGTTCTCGTTGGGAACATTACGTGTTGTGTGAGAGACGCCTTTCATGTTTTGTTCAGCATACGGTAAGCGAAAGACAGTTTTGAACCTGACGCTTGAGGGGTGTTCCAGTTAATTCCTGGTGCGTTGAATTCGCCCATGATCGTGACGTGAGATCGACTGGGAAATTTATCTATCTGCTCCAATAGTTGAGTGTCGGCGATTTGGTCTGTCCTAGGTGGTCGGCAGATAGTGAGGACATCGAGACTAGGGGAACCAGTAATCTTGATGGTCAACCAAATAGCTACCGCGCTGCACTCAAACTTGGTGGTGTCTTCCGACACTGTCAGGCCTTCATGCACATGCACAACGATACCACCACCCTGACGATATTCCCTGTATCTCCAATACATCGGGTAACCAGGCAAGGTTATTTCGCTATTGCTAATATTCTCGGACAGCCAGGTCTCGCTTACTGCTAATACATCCGCAGACAGTTCTGCAAGGCAAATTTCGAACTTTTCTAGCTTCGATATGAGGCTTTGTCCATTTGTGAACAATCACCTCAATTTTTGCATCAACCAAATTTCCGGTCGCACTTGTCACTGTTTTGAGCATTACTGCGTTATCTCGGATGACATTTTCTGTGTGCTCCTCAGTTACTTTATGGGATTTGTGTTTAACGCTTCCCTGACAATGCCTGTAAACTGGCATTAAGTAAAAATTTTCAAATTATCAAATTAATGTCCGTTGTTTCAGTCAGAACACTGGACGTTAAGGGCTTACTTGTATTGTCACCTCGAGCTGCTGGTTCTACGAAGGTGCCTGTGTTAGCCGAGTAGCTGCTGTCGTTCTTGGCATTATGGGTGGTTCCACTAAAACGGCACATTTTGCCGGATAACTTTCCCTTTGAAGATAGCCAGATTGTACGATTTTAACTCCAAGTTATGAACCCAGTTTTGAGCGCAGTATGAAATGAAGTCTGCACCTCCGATTAAAAACATATGCACCGAGACAATTTAGATCGTTTTTTTTTCACTCAGATTTAGAATTATATTTTAATAGAAACCATAACCCTTACCTATGTTAAACGCCAAATTATGCATGCATTATAAAAAATAAAAGCTCTGAGCCAACTAAATTTACAACTGAATTAGACTTTAAGAACACCAAACTGCGGCTTAAACGTCTGTAACTTAAGAAAAAATTTTAATTATTAATTTCTGCATGTATTAGAAGAAAAATCATTCCTGTTTATTGTTTTGCCATATCGAATAATTTAGCGAAATCCGGGTGAAGGTCGGTGCATACTTTGAAACCTCGGGCCCAAGGCTATAGCACACTCTCCGCGTCCTCCTCGAAGCCTGCATCACGTGCACACGGATTTCATAAATGCGTTCAGTGTAGTCCTGACAAAAATGATGCGTTCTAGTAGTAGTCAACCGAAAAGACGTGTAACTGCTCACTGCATGTCGTATTCTCCACAGGACCTTGCTTTTGCTGTGGAGAAACCAGAAAAAAGCAAGACGTCGGAATCCCAAATAAAATCAGCCATGAAAAATAGAACTCTCAGTTTTCTACGGGACAAATCAAAATATTCGACTTCGATGGATCTATACAATAAGGCTAGTAATATAAGAGTCGATGGCGCAACGAAAACCAAGGGAGGACATGTTAACCATCTTCGAGCACAGCAAGTGCATTTGAATAAATCTGCTTCCGCGGAATGCATGACCTCAACTGCATCACAGTCAAAAGGCTTAGAGGAACCTACAAGTGATAAAGGTGCTCAGAAATATGTGCCAGCTGGGCTCGAAAATATGGGGAATTCGGTTGGTTCCCTTGGTCATTTTCTTCGTATTTTTTAAAGTGTTCCTTAGGTCAGGAATTTTTTAAGCTCATTCGCAGCACGCTAGCTTTAAGCATGTTTTTATGTGATCGCCCTCATCCGCACAGAGGCTTTATCTTCTTATATTTGTATCACTAACTATAGTCAGCGATATAAAATCACTTTTCGAGTCACCTACGTGGTCAGTCATCGGATTTCGTTTCAGTTTTTTGAGTTATAGTCCCTAATTTGCCGTAGTTTCGGGGTCAACCCCCCTAAGCATATTTGTTGTTAATACCATGTTTTTTAAATTGATTGAACTGTACTGTGTTCTTGCCTATCTGTGGTTTGTAAGCTGTTTCACGGGAAGATTTTTGGCAGACTATCTTTCTTATACTTGCTATTGTCCGAACGATCTCCGCGAATTGTTTTGCCTAATTTTGTTTACAGTGCTATCTAAATGCTATTCTACAATGCATTCAATGCACGGAGTCCTTGAGGAACTACTGTTTAGAAAAGAAATACGAGCCCTCTCTTCGAAAATCGGCAAAAACTGGAGGCGACCTATTTCCTGGTACGTTTTCTCATAGGCAAAACTTCATACCCTAATGATATTACATCGTTTGTATTCAACAGACTGTCAGCGTTGTGGAGCCTGAAGATTCAAGTCAGGAGATCGGCTAAAATACTGGCGTGCAGCTGGAAGATTGGAAAACTGATGTGAAAGCGGCTTGCGCCGAGCACACAGAAAATTAAAATCATGTAAACAGGGTATTTCAAGACAAGCTTTGGCATTAAAACCATCTGGAAATTGCCAAGATCAGTGTTGACTTGTTGTAAACAGATTGTAGAACATTTCAGTCGAAGACCAACAACTTACCTTACATTTGAACTTGAGATTACAGCAGGGATAATAAATAGCGAAGAATGATAATCCTACGAGCCCGGGAGTGGTGTTAGTCATCGTACCAGTCAGATTTTGGTAGAAATCGAAAGGTTTTAAAAGTAACTTTTCTTTAGATTTCTTAAATCCTGCCTCCGCCATGTTATTTGAATTGATGTTCTTTCTTGTGTCCTTTGAGTCAAAGTCCTTATAGGAAGGGCGTCGATTTTTGACTGACAAAATTCTGGGAATTAAAATCACCACGGAGCGTTAACTGCAAATCTGTACTCTCACTTTTACCCTGAGTTGTTTTTTGGATTTGGTTGCACATCAAATTTTACATCACCCCGGGACATTTACCTTGTTCTTTAAAAACTGACCACCGTTATATCCTCATGTTATCCTTGGACTGATTTGCAGAAACTTCTCAACTCCGACCAAAACAGTAGTAGCTTCTTCAGCTTTCCTATGTGCCAGATACTGTATAGATCGTTTTCATATTTTACCTTTTGATCAATTCTGCCTTTCTCTAGCCCTAGGCAGTGTGCTTAGTAAGATGCAAGCCCACGCCGGGAGCACTGTACCTACGTCAGCCATTCTCAGATTCAAGAACGTGTTTGCCAAGGTGGTGCCATCCTACGCAGGCAATCTGTAAGTGATGCTTTTCTTCAGAACTTCTTCGCCTTGCATTTTCAGCTAGTTGAGAAGGCATTTACAAAATGTAGTAAGTCAGGAGCTTTTCGAGTTTTGCCATAGTCACACGAAATATCCGAGCTCTAGCCGAACGGTTAAATTGTAGTAGTTAACACTTCTCCCGTCTTGCCTTATCATAGGTGTCTCCACTCGTTGCCCACAAGTACCCAGTCTCTTCCTTAATGATTGCATTTCAGCATGTTCTGCCAGCGTTATTCGAAGCAATGGCTTTCGTAGAATCATTCTGGTCTCTTGTACCAAATCTTCTTCTCTGTCACAGTAAACAAGAAAAGCCTTAACAATAGGATGTATACGACATGTCGGTGCTCAACTATTCTGTGAACGTGTAGCCGTTAATGTATGCCAAGAAGTGCAGAATGCAGAATCATCTAACTGAAAACACGATTGGTTTTATTTCAGGAATAACATATTTAGGGACGTGCGCCTTGTTCAGTAACCTTACCGTTAGGATCATCTAGTGCGACGTCGACTTTTGTAGTTTACTGACGTTTCAAGATACCTCGAATGGCCGTGGCTGTGATGTAGCTCAATTTTTATTCTCATTACTGATTATCAATTTTCTTTTTTCGCTTCCAAGGCAACAAGATGCCCTAGAGTTCCTGACTTACCTTTTGGACCTACTCCATGAGGAGACTAAGATCTGTCTCCAGGAGCCGCCGAAATCCCGACCCAACAGAAAGAGTGTGCATCAACTGCCACCCACCGAGGACATTTCCCAACGGAATCTGTCACCGCCTACACATCACGCCGACGGCGTAGATCACCCACCCGCATCCCACTCTGCTATGCCTTCAGAAGATAGCTCCGTCCACGTTGACCCTTCTTCACTCTCCTTCAGCAGCCACAGTGAGCTGCCCACAAAATCGTTCCCTCCCATATTACCCTGCGAAGGTGGTCTTAATGGCACCGGCTCCAAGGGAACCAAGCGTTCGGTGTTCAGGCGGATAATGCGTCGATTTAAGGCGAAGTCGCGCTCATCCTCAAAAACCAGACAGTCAAAGGGTGTCGAAGATGAATCTGCAGCCGGCGGACTTCTGTAAGTTTCGTTTTTCTACGACATATCCACAAACTCATGAACTGTGCCAAAATACTCAACCCTCTCCTCGACGCGTCGTCCGAAGCCAACGTGAAGAAAGGTTTTGGGGAAAATATTATTAGGTATCTGACTGCGAACATTTTTGTCAGGAAGGAAATTTCGAAAAAGGACACCGGAGATCAGCATAGTTTAATGCATACAAATAATGCTGTCTGACAAGCATTTTTCTCGTAAAAGAGCTTTTTCGCTTAATTATGAGGAATAGTCTGAATGCTTTATTTCTTTTTCCTAACTACGATCAAATTAGGCATTTTCAATGGACGCGTTTTATAAATCTCACTACCCTCTTAACGTCTGATGGGCAAAACAATTTTTCTAGTTGCTCGCGCAGCCTCGTTCTCTTCGCTGCTTATTTCAGGACACCGTTGCTTTTATATAATCCAGATTTTCCAATGTTAATTCTACACACTACACCCCTTCCGCGTCTCGATTTTGTGTACGTTTACTATCAGTCGCGTGGATTATACTAGAAGGAATAAACTGCCAACGTTTTCCTCGCCTGAGTAATGTGTCCTGTTTAGCAAGGTCCCGTAATCGATAGCACGATTCACGACAATAGTTTGTAACGCAGAATTTTAAAAGGCGAGTTCGCAATCACTTTCTCGAAAGCAATGCGCTTTTTAATAGCTGAACTCACAAAATGTTCATAGACGCGAAATATGAAATTCCAGGTCCAGAAAGCCCCCTTTATGAACTTGCCTCACTTTTATTAATGCCCCTAGATGGAAAAAGGTGCTTAAGCATGCGACCTCAGCTTGCGACTCACGACGTTAGTTGACTATAAGGATACGTCGGTTTTTGTCTAGAAAGATGTCCAGCTATTCTCTGGCAAACTTTGAAACGAATTCTCCTTTGAATCAATACGCTGTATGAATATAGACTATCCGACATTGAACAGGCTTCATGGCCTGCCCCCGTCAGCGACAGTCCTGCGCTATCAGCTTACAAGACAACGCACATGATAGCCTTGTTTATGCACTTCCAGCCCCCAAGGTCGCCCGGAACGTACGCGTTTGCGTTTGTTTATGATATTTTTTCCGCTGACGGAACAGGACGTCACACGAACTTTCAGAAGTCTCTGCGAGGAAAGTACAGGACACTTCAGTTCTGCAGTGCGGACTTCCAAATGCCCCACCCCATGGAGCAGACAGTAGTCGTTGCACGGACAACGCGTTTGATGACGATCACATGACTCTGGAGGACCGCACTCCAACTCCGTCGTTGTCGTCGTCTTACATGCACCTCGCGGGTAGAAGTAGGCGGACAAACGACCACTCAGATGCACACTCATCCACTCAATTTCACGCACATACGCAACATCCATCACACACCAGATCATGCATCCTCCCGACTCAATACGTCAGCATGATAGTGACGGGGGAAACGTCGCATTTGAGGACATGCGCATCTCATGCGAATGGGAAGCGTGTTCCTCCGTGCCTCTTGGGGCACCCGCAGTGGGGATCAACTCGTGTACGGAGCTCGCGCTCACGTACACGGGTCCTTGAGCTTCCCATCAACTGCCAGCGAGGTCCAGAACACCGACTGCTGTATGGGAGAGAGAGAGCGACCCCAGGACACCCATCTTCATGTCGAATCAGCTTATTCCTCACTAAATACAATCTGAGGCGCCTGAACCACTCACGAACTAAAGGTCGTGACTAGAGTAGCTGCCAACTGATGAGCTGACTCGGTCCGCGTGGGGTGACTGCAGAACCGATAATCAGGCTGCAGGGGCGTGTCATGTCCTTCATAGTACTCCCACCCACGCGGAGTCCGGGCTGTCCTTACCCCCAGCCTGCAATGGAAGTCAGGTCGCGTGTGGCGCGTGTAGACGGACTGTTTAGCTTTGTCACCCACTCCGTCCACGTTCATCTCCGGTCGTCTTGACAGTGTCTTGCTGCCGGAGCAAGGTGTGTTAGGGAGGAGAGACTGCTGCGGGGATGCTACGCAAAGCTGCTTCTCTGTGGAGTCACCTGTGCTGCACTCGCTCTGTGGGGCTCGCAGTAGACATCGTCGTTCACGACAAGCGAACTGTCACTCCTGAGTGGAACCCGCAGACAACGAAGACCAAAACTGCTGTTCCCGCTCCTTCCTCTTCAAGGGCCCGCCGTCGTAGAATCTACCGCTGTCTTGTCGATTTCAGCGATGGCCCCGCAGGACGTGTCCTGGTTAGCCCATGCGGCTCAGCAGACCGAGCTTGCAGTCAGAGGAACTTGTCATTATCTGTCCAAAATGCGGTTTCGTCTTCTTTTATTCATATCTGTGCCAGCCGCTGCCCCATGCAAGCCGGATACGGATCCCAAAAGGTCAGATGACTTGGCAATAGACACACAACTTGTTTGTATCCCTTAAGATCTCGCCCGAACAAACGGCCGATGAGCCCAGTTAATCGGCTAATAAATGTCCCGTGCAGCGGAAGGTCTCAGTCATTCTAACATCACCGTCCTGATTGTCCATTTGCTATATTCTGACGCAATTGTGACTTAATTTTTTCCCGACTCATATGTGCAAAAAGAACTTGAAAATCAAACTACTTCTTTTGCTGCACTTCGGATCACTCCCACCTCAGCGTCGTTCACAAATATTTTCCGTTTTAGTGGGTCCGCTGAGGCCGCCGCGCAGGAGAGAAGCTTCCTGAAAGGTATTTTATCCTTCAATTTTTTTTGTCGAACTCACTTCAAATAGTCTAAAAGCACTGACCTGCGCGCCACCATCAGCATGCTCTGTTGTTTTATTCTGGCGGAAGGCAGAGCCGTGTTCACTTTTGTCCTCGCATGTGGCTGACATGCATTGGAAGAGGTAGCGTGTAAAGTGCTGCGCCTTCCCAACCAATCGCGTTCGTGCGCGGTTTGGCATGCTCAGTGACCTTGAGGTGGCGTTGTAGAACAGTGGCAGGTCGCAAGTAACTGCCGGTTATTGCGGGGTTTGGCGGAACTGGGAGAACCGCGGTATCCGTTTGAGATGCGAGTTTTCTGCGCCCATCATTAGCCCAAGCTGGTCATGTCTGATCTCGCAGTCGTAAAGACTGACTATGAAGTATGCGATTTATTTTGCCGCTAGACCGCTCACGGAAAGCTTTTGAAGACCTAAAAAGCCCGTTCGGAAGTTTATTCATCTAAATTGGGTCAGAAGGATGATGGTCCTACCGAAACCCAATCTGTGATTTGCAACCAAGGTGACATGTTTTTTCCATATCCACTAATGCCAGATTTTCTTAGACGAGGACGTCTCGCAGTTACGACCATGTTATCTTCCCGTCTTTATTTGAAACGCACATATAATTGTAAGTAGTCTGTAAATGATTCAATGCCCACCTTTCGCTCCATCTCGAGTCAGTGGCTTCTTGAAGCCACCCCATTGTCAGGATATCGAGCCAACCCCCACACAATTATCTTTCGGAGTTTGAGCACTGTGCTGGAAATGAGTGCGGTAAGTGGTGGTAAACTCGATTTAATTACCAGACGATGGTTGGTAGACTATCGAACGGCAGAAAAAGCAGCCGCGCAAACGTTCGCGCACGCAAAGTGATGACTCCACGACCTGCCTGCAGTCTCGTCTATGGGATTGGCGATCTGAACCTCGAAATTCTTCTGGGGATCTGGATGCTGCCTATGAGCGATCTGGTAGGTCAGATCGGCTTACTGCAAGACTCCTATCGCTTTTCAAATGCTTCCACCGGAAGTCACATGGTTGGTCCGGAAGGGAGGGGGAAACATTTGTGATGGATTAATTGTTGCCTCAAATAATAATAATAATAGTAGTTTTATTGAGCACCCGCGTGGGCACTGCCAATGAATGCCTAACTACGCGAAATGGTCATTCCCCGTCGACCGCATCTGGCCTCCGGGTCCCATCCGCGGCCGCACGATACCTCAGAGCTCAGTGGCCACGTCGTGGTAATCGCTTCCATTGCGGGGTAAGTCAGGTGAGAGTAGTCATAGGCTAGTCTGGCCAAGTGTGCGTCGTACGGTCCTGTCGGTAGGAGGGTTCAGTCTTGTTGTGGCTTTGGTCGGGTCGGCTACTGCTCCTAGGTTCATCAAAAGTCGTCTTGAGGCGGTGGAGGTCTTCCCACCCATCTTAATCTGGCTCACACGAAAGTCAGCATTGTCCCCACCTCCCCTCATATTGTGTTCGTAATAATTTGTGTTTCAGATGGTCAAACTACGATTTGAGCCGTCAGTCAGCGCTCTTAATCATGTTTCCTACGATGTATTTATTTTCGGACAACCGCTACACGGTATATTTTTGTCCGTCGCTGGTCTTTCCATTTCGAAGGAGCTATGCATTTGAAACCTCGAAAACCCGCGGTTCTTTAACAATATTTGAATTTTCACACGCTCGCACGTAACAGCCCGACCGCCATGACCGACAATCTCCACCATTTGCTCCACAGCAGGGGGAGGGCAGGGAAATGAGTTGAGCGTGAACTATTTTATCGTGATGGTAGATTTGCGCAGCATTTACCGCACTCGCTCCTCCTGGCAACGGTACAGAGAAGGATTCCACTTAATTGTCAGTAGATTGTGGAGCGTACCATACGTGATTTATGGTAAAGGGCGTTTTATGGGTGGGGCATCGCGCTTGACAGTAAGCTGACAAAATGAGTGAAAACACAGAAATTGCCTGGATGTTGTGCCGAAAGTCTTGTCTTACGCAATTGTACGAAAATGATAATGAGAGTAATAATTAAGCAATAAACAAAAAGTTAATTTCACAAAATAACGGATTTTGAGTTAAGGCGTGGGAAGTAATCGTTGTTGGCAGTGCAATTTCTGCAACAGCCTGCAAATGCACGATCCACAGTCTACTGACGGTTAAGTTGGGCCCTTCTCTATACCGTTGCCAAGATTTGTCCCAAAACCTGAGGAGAAGGCATATGACACGATCCACAGTCTACTGACAGTTAAGTGGGGTCCTTCTCTATACCGTTACCCTCCTCTCCCCCACCTAGGTCCGGTGTCAATACGTAGTCAAGAAGATCGGAGGCGGGAGAGTGCGAAATTGGCTGGCACCGTCGTACCACCGCCCAGTCGTACCGCATCACACTAGGTGGGAGTGCCACAAAGGTCGCATTATGAAGGAGCCATCGCACCCGGACTCTCAGTCCACCAGCCAGCCTCTAAACACAAACAAACACACAGACACACAAAATTGGGCTGACTGCGTGGACTGAGTTTAAGCGTCAGTTGGTAACCTTCCTAGCTACGGCGTTTAGGGCACTAAGGCTCGGATCAAAAATGCAGCAGAGCAGCCACTTTGCGAAGGACCTGAGAAACACACTTCCCACCTACATGAGAGGTGCCAATTACATGATTGTGTTGTGCGATGATGGGGGATGTTGGTATGTCCTGCAGGTGCTAGTGAGAAGAAGTGTGACGGTTTGATATAGCTGGCAGTGTTCTATGGCGAGTTTTCATGGAGGCGTATGTGGCCTAATAGACCTGTGCGGTAGTTGAATGTGCGAGGGCAATCGGGGCACTAAGGCAATTGCGGCGAGTTTAAATTGACGTTTCAGGCACCGGTTCGCAACCTCCGTGCGATGGGTTCTCAGGTGATCGGCTAGGCCGATGCGTGAGGTGAACCTGTTGTGACAGAGTGGGCACCCCACAACCCCCGGTCCACAAAGACGAAGATCAAGAAGACGAAGGCGCGATCACTTTATTATTATCAGTGACCCCCTCACTCCTTTGGATTGCTATGTTCCAGCAGTTTTGAATACACTTTCTTTGTGATTTTAGAGACATTTGTCGGTCATCTTCAGTCCCGGCTGCGATGTTGTCGCTGCAAGAACCTAACCACACGCAACGAACTTTTCTGGAACCTTGCTCTTTGCGTCCCTGAGGTAAGCTTTGCTGGTAGAGCGCACCTTCGTTGTATATTTTACGAATTCTACATCAGTAGCCCTTATTCACTGCAAGCAGGCAGCAAGTGCGCCATAGTCTATAACATAATATTAGAAGGAAGTATGGTAACAGGTGCCGATAGAAGTGCATCGAGCTTTCACGGTGCCTACATAATTTGTATATATATGGCAGTGCATCGAAGATAACGTTTAAGTTATACCTATTCAACATATGTAAGTATGTATTCCTATTTTACCAAAAACGGATAGGAAAAGGCAGGGGAGACCGGACGTTCGCCCGCGGCCGAGGCACCCAGGGCGTCCGAAGCCTCCCCGCCCGGACTGAAACAACAGTCTCCCACCGGCATGCCGTCCCACACGAAGAACCCCAAGGAAGACTCTGATTCTCACTCCAGAAAGATCTCCACTGTCAGCAGCGTCGTTTCCGACTCATCAACTATTTCTGATGTCAGTTCCACACCCAGCGTCAGCCTCAAGGACTGTCTGGACGCCTTCACCAAAGTTGAGGTTTTAGACGGCGATGACAAGCCGGTAGGTCCCTTTTTGTCTTTTTTTACACAGCCTGTGGGTCAGCCCAGGTCCTGCTTCTTAGCAAACTCAATTGTAAAAAAGCGTGGTAGAGGGACGTCCACCGATCGTTTCTACAGAAGTCACTCCTCCCGTTGTGTCTTAAGGGTTCTCTCTCGAGCCCAACCAGCAGCCGCTTAGCGACGCGCAATATAGGGTCGGTGAGCGCGCCTCTGCCATATATATATGCCGGAAATACCATAATCGTCACACCAGTATCCAGCGCGGATGACGAAATCACGGCAATTAACTACTCGTTATCGGACTGACAAGCCACCATCGTATCAATTACGACCCCAGCGGTGATTGCGAGAGCTGTTAATTGCAGTGCGCATACAGTCCCACGGCAGCCACGTGCTATAAATACTGCACTCCTTGTGCCACCATCACCTTTATCTGCGAATGTCTCTGATGACGAATTCGAGTGAGAATCCGAAACGTCAGGCCAATAAATTTATTGTTCCAGTGATCGCATCTTGGTCTTCCAGAGTGTATTTTGTGCACACCCATACGAAATCCTATACATGGGGGGGGGGTGTGGTGGGACGCCCAGATGTAGGCTCGTTCCGTGCCGGCCACCTGCACTCAATCCTCCCTCCGGTCTTTTTCACTCGGTCTTGACACGATCCACGGTCTACTGTCAGTTAAGTGGGGTCCTTCTCTATACCGTTGCCCTCCTCTTCTCCACGTCGGTCCGGTGTCAAGACGTAGTCAAGAAGGCCGGATGCAGGAGAGTGCGAACGTGGCTGGCATCGCCGTACCAACGCCTAGGCGTACCGCCACACCCGGCTCGGATTACACTAGGAAGGTGTGGACGGAGAGCGTGCGGTTGATGCAACGCAAATTTACTATTACTGTGAACTAATTCACGCGCAAGTCCACCGTCCCCGTACCCACCCTGCTGCGGGGCACACGCTGGCCATTGTCGGTCGCGATGCTCGGACTGTACTAGGTCAACTGTGCATCAAGCGGTCCGCCATAGGTACTCTACCTTGAGAACCGTGAATGTATATTTACACAGACTCTTTCACTCATGCAGCAAACAAATATTACCGTCATAACTTCAGATCGCACCCACTCTAATGCGCTCGAGCACTGAAGACTGTACTTTGGCGGGAGATGATATCGTTTCGTTTTTCAAAAAGGAGTGCCAGTGGAAATCTGAAAGCGCGCTATTAGATGCCATTACAGCAGTCTGTAGCTTGCATTCCTAAAAGGCCGAATCACACCCATTCTAGACCTACGAAGACTTTAGGTTTTTTCCCCAACACCTTTTAAGATAGATAGCCGTGCAGGGCAAAGCTTGCGCATTAGGTCATCGCAGGCTATGAAGAAGCTGTTTGATACCGTCCTTTCCTCATGTGATCTGTATGTTAGAGAATACGCTTTCTCCTTCTCTCTCCCTAGACCTGCGAACATTGCAAGGAGGCTACGAAGGCCAAATTTCAAGTCCTGGTCTCTCGCCTCCCGGACATCCTTGTACTTCGTATCCTTTTGAAGACCCCTATGGTTTATTTTGCCGAGTAGACCATTTATGCATGGCCTTCTCAGCTGGATAAATTGCCTCATTTCCCCCCCCCTCTCTCTCGCGTCAGCTAAAACACTTCTAAAACGGACAATGGGAGAGAACTAGCCCACGGTCTATCTCCGAAAAGCAGATACTGACGGACGGCCGATCCCTTCCCCTCCCCCATTTCTGCGACTTAGTCGATATCCCATTCTTGCATGAGAGACGAGGACCTTGGTGTTGCAGGATTGCGAGCACCCTGTTTGGGCTAACCATGTCTTGAATGGGGTCAGGCGACAGACCTCTTATTCACAGAAGCTCCACAACCATATCGATAGATCATAAGGTACCTGACATACGGTGCGTGACCGGTCTCATGAAATGTTGGCTGAAATCCTGAAATGCGTCTTCGATTAGGACGGATTACTTAGGTGGGATTTTTTAAATTGCTTATCATAAGACATAATCCTATAGTATTTCGGACTCATCAGGATGTCGGATTTAGAATGCACTTCTTTTTGACCTTCTGCAGTAACCACACTCGGCAAAATGACTATTTAAGTAGCATGCTTTTTTCACATTGATTTTCGGCGGTCCTATAAATTCAAAGATATAGAAAACATGCACGAAATATGCTTTCTTTTATTCTTTTGGTAGAAAATCACCTTATCTTCGCGTTTTTTACTCGAAGAAAGCGGATATTGAGGTTTTGAAAATGTTTCTAGTTATAGAACGCGCCGGCAGCCGCACGAAAGCGCACGGTATAGTCAGAATGGCATTACCGACAAAGGCAAGGGAGATTGGGATGGCCATTTCTGGCTTAATACCTGTCGTCAGTCAGTCATACCCAACCCCGAGGCGTGGAATACCCGAAGTTTGCAATTTTAACTGTCTTTAACACATTTGTTCTTCTCTGCTTCCGATAACGATTTGAGGAACTGACGGCTGCAAGGTTGTACGATTGGAGGAGCGTACTGCTCGATGAGGACAATGAGTAGAATGACATTATCGACAAAGACAAGGGAGACTGGGATGGCCATCTCTGGCCCATTAGCTGTCGTCAGTCAGTCATACCCAACTCCTGTGAAACACCCGAGACTCGAGAGCGAGAACCTCAAGATACAAAGTAACGAGTGCGTTCCGTAACACAATCGGTGAGCGCCCCTCTACCGTAGTCTGAACAGTTGACAAGAATCTGTACAAAGTTCGCTGTTCATTGGAGCAAAGAACCCATTATCACTTTTCACAATTTCCGTGAACAATAAAATGCCCCATAATTGAGCATGGATGTCTGCTGGAAACGCTGAATTCTGTGCGTTAGTATCACTTTCGTTTAGATAATGTGAGTTTTTTGATCGTCAGTCGAGGTAGGACTTTTCGAAGTCAAGATTTGCACTACTTCCAGTGAAAACCTACGATCCCGAAATGAAACGGCACTGAGACTTCCTTTCAAAGGATACCGACAGCATGCTCAACCTTGCAGCGGGCCATGAGGTTGTTGTGCTGGACGAACTGGGGGATGGGGGGGGCAGATTAGGGTGCTGAATGCGTTTTTGGACTTCACTCCCACTCACGGAGGCTGGTGCTATGGCACGTCTAGGCGCAGGTTCACGCCGCACCAGCCACCTGCGATCGATCCCGCCTCCGGTATTCTTGACACCGGACCCAGGGGAGGGTTCGGTGGATGCAGCCCAAGTCCGCCATCATTGGAAATTAACTCACGCGCAAGTCACCGTCCCGTCGCCCGCCACGCTGTGAGGCATACATTGTCGGTAACGAGGGTTGGACTGTTTTGTTAGATCTTTTCCCCCTGCGTATAAAACCGACAGATTTCGGTCGATATGCATTATTTTAATAGGTAGTTCTCTTCTGTCTTATCCCTAACTGACTGAACTGGCTAGAATTTCTACGATTCGACTCGTCCTCTTCTTACAACAAGCGGCGAAATCTCATCGGCTTCGATTTTGAATTGGACCTGAAGACATACACCACGAAAGGTCTGTTACCGCTTCCTTAGAGCCTTATTTTTTGCTGAATGTTGGTCAAGTACCTTCTGCCTTTAAAACCAAAAACTCATATTTCAAAGGACAGTACATAGGGATTTGTCGATCATATTTCACGCATAAATGAGGATCTTAAAAGCCGAGTTTGTATTCGATTTCCGTACGTGTTCGACCTGGATCCGCGCTTTTGTGTCCATCTTTTATGTATAGTTTGAGAGGATAGGCAAGACTTGTAAAACATCTATGAGATCTCTGGCACAGTCATAAAAGTAATCAGACCCTCCAATGGTGACAGTATGGTCAATTTTTAAACTTGTGCAAATTCGACTTCCTCAGTGATAATGCCCGATGTGATGTGCAGTTCCACTGACAGTTCCAACGGCCAACATATGGCGTTATCACATCCACGGAAGGAGGTTATCCCTTTTCAGCTTTCCCATCTTTGACCAGATATGGAGAACTTCCAAATGACTGGTTCAGTTATCGGATGCTAAATAGACCGAGTTTTGAAACCCCTTCCAGCCCTAGTTCACGGTTTCCCCAATCATGGAGAATACGCAATTGTCAACTTGTTACTGCAATCTGATTGAATAAACATGGAATTCGGCGCGGCTATCTGAATTGTAAGCTCAACGGATCCTCTAAGACCGAAATGAACCCATTCCTATCATAATTAGTATCGCTTCCGCACATTTTATCCGCCCTCCCGCGATGGGTTGGATTTTCTCTGGCCTACTCTCCTATGTATGCCCAAGATTGTCGATCAAAGTGCATGGTAAGGCACTGTTTTTGCCGCTACTACTACTGCTACTACTACTATTATTACTACTACTACTACTAATACTACTACTACTACTACTACTACTACTACTACTACTACTACTACTACTACTACTACTGCGGGAGTAGTCAACTAATCGAATCACTATCAACCGATAGCCCGATCCTGACTCAATGCGCGACATTCGTCTATTTTGCGCTTCTGCCTTTTAGTGGAAAACAGTAAGGAGGCTGACTGTTTGGAAAATTTTCTAGCAAAGACAGGGAAAGTGAAGCGGCTATCTCTGACACGTTAGCCGTTATGTGACCGCCTTCGTGAACTGTAGACTCTAAACCCTAAGGCAAAACGGAACTGCCAACTTCTTTCCTGCCATCTGGATCGATCTGGGCACGATGCCATCCTAACAGGCTTGTTTATTTGTTGACGCACTGTAACTGGAGTATTACAAACTCATCCGGCCTCCCCTATCGCTTACCGGCTGAGCACTTCGCATTTATGTCAGAGTTCTGCTTGCGAAATCGTACCCTACTGTGTAACCCGTCCCAAGAGCGTGAGTAGATGTTTGTGTTGACAACAGCAACGACAAACTACTTCTCTCCCGAGCAATTTTGAAGTAGTGAAGAGAGGGAGACGAAGAAGCGTCCCCTCCTCCCCTACTTGATATTCAGTGCAGTCTGGGTCTATGAACAGCGGTCTAGACTTGTCCACGCCGGCCAAAGAGGCGTTAAGGCGGTCTGTGTTTTGGGCCAGAAGCCCGCCTTCCATTCTACGCTTCAGCAGATTTCCGTGTTCATGTCTTCCACAGGTCTGGACGACAGTCCCTGCCGCCGCACAGGAGGAGAGGCGCGGCAGCCATCCATCCTCAGAGCCAACGAGGCCCAACCCAATCCTCCCAGCCGTATCCGTTTACGACTGGAAAAGTCGGGGCGGCCGAATCGTTTTTCGACATGTCTGCCCCCACAACTACCTCTCCCCAGCGCTGCTCCTCAACCACCATCACGGAGTGGCCGATTGCGTCGGAAGAGCCATTCCAGTAGCAACATCGACACCCAGACGACCGCTAGTTGTCTCACCCCATCTGTCTCCAGTCTCACCTTGACTGCTGAGTCGTCGAAGTCTCTGGCTAGCCTGAATGGGGACACCGCCTGCTGCCAAGAGGATTCCACTGACGACCTGAACAATACGCGCTACCGGCTCTACGGCGTCGTCTATCATCGAGGCTGCACAGACCGTGGTCACTATACCGCCAAGTGTTTTGTTAGACCGCCCTTCAGCAAGGAGCCTGGTTGGTATAACTTTGACGATGAGAAGTAAGTCCAGCAGCAGCACATTTTCTTTTGAGCCTTGTTTTGCCCACAAGGTGTCCGACACAGTCGCTTCTTGTGATCAGCCAATCAAAACCCCAGCCCTGACTGACTTGACTTCTGGATTGACCGGAAAGGACCACCCTCTGTAGTCAGCAAATGCGGCCCTTTTGGCTCAGTTTTTTAGGGTACATCGATATCTCTGGTTCCAGTATTCATGGTGGTGGAGTGGTATCACGCAGGGTCGTATTTACTCACCTGATTTAAATTTGATTTTCATTGGCTAGGCGGGGGAGGGGGGGGGGAACGACTAGAGATTAACTTCGGCACATTTGTTAATCAAGCTCCTGTGTGGGCAGTGTGAGATTGACTGAAAATCGGCAACCGCGTCCAACAATGTCTTCCGCTCACTTCCAGCACGCCATTTGCCCTTTGTTACTCAGGCGCGGGCTCTCAGGGTGTATAATTGCAGCAAGCAATCAATGCTGGAAAGGCAAACTTAAAGTTCCGTTGCCGTGTTTGCTTATGGGGAGTTGACACAGGGGAACCGGGAAGATGGTTTCTGACTTATTCGCCGTTATCAGCCAGTCCAGATCAAGAGGGCCCTGGCTCTACGTCCGGATTCATTCGGTCATTAGGTCAACCGTTTCATCACTAATTTGAGATGCGACTCATGCCCCGACAGATAGACCTCGTTGCCGAACGCAATAAACCCTCGTGCGTCATCCTCGTCTAGCAAACCGATCTGATTATTGGTGGTAGAAACGAATAGGCGAGTTCAAGGGAGTGGCCGCGGAGAAGGAGACATGATTCAATCCCACAAGCAAGTTTGACGAAACAGAAGTTCTTGCTAGAGGCAACAACCGTGTGAGCCGTGAACTGCTCGATTCATGGTTTTTTGGTTCCCAATATGCGCAACGACCTCCCCTCTCCATCTTTGGTGCTCAGGCTTAGCTTAGGCAAACTAGGTAGGCGCGAGGAGAACGACCGGATAACCACTATCCCCGGTATCAATGTCGGCGAGCCAAATCAAACAAGAGTCCACACGAATGACGAAATCCGATAGTCAGCCACTCGGCGGTGTACGATGAGCATGGGAGTCGGTAGTCTTGACCGGCATACAGACGCATAGCAACTGCATGACAGCGGCATGCTTCGACATCTGGCCAAGTCGAGCCGTGATATACTTGGGAGCTGCCAACTATAACAGGCATGGAGCGGCCGAGTAACTACATTCTGTAAATATTTCAACACCTGGTCAATCCACTACCCTTATCTGACTCTGTCTCTGATGATGGATTCGAGTGAGAATCTGAGACGTCAGGGCACAAAACACTTGTTCCAGCGATCATATCTCCTTCTCCGTGACCCGACTATTAGCGCTTGCGGGCAGCTGGTCTGCACTTCACAGGAACCATTTTAAAGATCTGCCAGAAACGGTAAGAGACTCTTATTTACATATAAACGTATTCATATCACGCACACAATCGTCCTTACACGCCCTATGGGTAAAACGTTCTCCGTGTACCATCCCTGAGTGTGCATTTGAGTCACTAGTAAGTATCCTCGCTTCAGGACGACTAATTTAGGTGTCCTTGTTTTTCGCCTGTGGTGATGTTGATGGGCTCAGTCGTGCTGGCTGACCAGTAAACTGTTGGTTAGGTCCTGTGCAGAAAATGTACATGCATGTACGCCTGCGTGTGCCATTCTGACTTGGGGGTCAACTAATAGTCACATGTCTGCCTCATTACCTCATGCTTCTGCCACACTGGAAACCTTTTCACGCCAATTTTTAGCTTGGTTTTAATGAACCTTACCACAGTCGGCACTGTGTGTGTGCGACGTTGAAAGTGGCGGAAAAAGTGGCACACCTTAGCAGCTGGAGCAAACTAAATGTATGCAAATGTCAGAGGGGATTTGCTTACTTAACACTTTTCACCTGTCTTGCGTAATCTGTCGAGAACTCCTTCCCCTCACCGTCATTCTATATCGGAAAAAGAAATTGAGACCTTGGGTATAATGTTGTGATAGGACTATGTGCAAATCACGTCGGGGCTACCACCATGTGGGGATTGAGGGTATGAAATCAACTTTGACCACACACCAGACGTCAAGCAGCTGTGAGAACTGGGCCATCCTGTATACTGGACAGGTTGCTGTGAGCTGTCTGTTTGCTGCTGTGTCAGAGCAAAGCGTCCGTTCGAGAGTGCCTAATTCGTGATGTGTTGTTTACGCTATCATAGCTTGGCAAACTTTGACCTGGTAGGTAGTTGCCTGTTCGCGACTCCTTTCGCCCATACGAAGCTTGTTTGCTTCAGGAAGCCAGTGGATCGGTGTGCGCCCATTCTTGAGTGAATAAATACCCGATCTGCAGCGACAGAGAAAGGGAGTCCGGAATGGCCATTTCTGGCTTATGAGCCGTCATCAGTTCAATGATAGAGTGTCAAACTCTATGACCAAAGATCCCGGGCCCGAATCCCAATTTGCCCACACTTGAGTTTGGGTATGACCGGTTAGTGACAGCTAATAAGCCAAAATGGTCATTCCAGTCTCGCTTGTCGTTGTAGGTATCATCTCATATGTGTATATATATGTACATCAGACAGGGTGATTAGAAAGGCACAGTCAGACTGGCACAGATCTGCGTTAGGCTTATATACTCAATCACAAGTCTACCCATCATCTGGGACCATAAGGACAAACGCGCGCACGCACACAGCTCAAATGGTCCACAGACAGATTCATAAACACTTAATCGGACCGAAGTCCATCGCGGCCTCTCCACCAGGAATTCCCTCTCTCTCTGTAGATCAGGCATCTATTCGTACAAGAATGGGTTTACCTAAGTAAACAAATTTCAGATTGATGGTAGAAGTAACCAACGGGCAACCACCTCAGTACGCGTGTTGCGATATTTCTTCGGAAAAGCAATAAAATAGTATTGTTCGTCCTGACCGCCAATATCAGACACTTCGTGTCCGTTTGAATTTTTCTACAATTATCAGTCTAGAACACATTCACATGCCTACTACCTGTAGTCGAATCGGTGTTTCTCTCGCTAACATCATAAGAGAGCATCGGCAGTGATTTAGTAAGAAGCGTCGGATAGGGGTTGCATAATCATCCGAGCTGCGGTAGTTCTTGACCTGCAAATTGGTTAATATTTGTTTCGGGTCATACTGCCGGCCACGACCACTGTTCGTGACCTATATGATGAAAGGTTACGAACCGCGAACTAAAATCCTTGTATCGCACGAACCGTCCACCCCGCATCCACGAAAGTTGTACTGCGTTAAAGAAACGATTGAGTTTCAAGAGAAGGCTCAGTTGGATTTATAAAGTATTATTAATTAGCTAAGAAATAATTCATTTTACGAAAAACCATGAAATTCAAAAACGACTCCATGACAGGTCAGTTATTTAAGGCCGTAAGTCGGGATGAAATAGAGACTACTAAGTTGTCCACGGTGGTTTGGTCTACATAATTACTAGGCACAAAAATCCAACTTTTGCTACATTGAAAGATATTTTCATACCTTGTTCAAATTCCTTTTGACTAACGGAAAAAAGTTTTCGATCGGATTCAGGCTCGGGCTATTAGCGGAAATATAAATATTTCGATGACCGCAAGCGAGAGCATGATGAAGGTTGAATTCTTTCATCCTTTTTCTAGTTATGCGTAAAGAAAATATTGGTAGATATTTCATGTAAATAGCCTTAAGGGGTATACAATGATACTTTTTAGTGTACGACGAATAAAGGCGTCATCCAGCCTGTTTGGGGCAGTTTAGGGCAACATTGCCTTGTTCTAGGAAATGTTCTATTGTTAATTATTCTCCAGAGAGTGATTTGTCAATTGATGGATTTATTAGCCAACAACTCACGCGGCAGCCCTTCAGCTGTCAATTTTTATAAGTGCTTAAAATCAATGCCTTCTTTCTTCTATAGATGGCCAACCCTATCCTTAGGGTGCATAAGCTGACTAAGTAAGGTAGTCGCTGGTCAGTGAGCCACTTGTATATGGTGTATTTTCAGGCGTTTTTCAATGCGTTCAGACACATTTTTGTGTAAGGGAGGGTCCCCCAAGTATTTGCTTCGGGCGTCTGCATGGAAGTATCTAGTTCTTCCTCGTTTGACTCTTGTCTTTTTCATGCATCAACATACGAAATCTCTGGGGTAACCATTCCGAGAAAATATTTCAAACAGACAATCCAGCTCGACTCTCTAGTTTCCTTCGTCGGAACTGTTTTTGCTCGGTTTTGACAGTGATCCGTGTATGAGAGGTGGGGTTGTTGCTCTTTATTTTACTCATTCCGTAGTAAACGACGTCCGCTTTTAATTTTATATCTAAAGATAATTTATCTTTCAATCTTGCAAAACTTTTTAAATTCCCTTATATGTTTCAATCGTCCAAAGACAGTCCCTCCGTCGTTCTATGCACCTTAAGGATAGTTAGAAGTTAAACAGAAAATGTCGGATTTTGGTCACCTGTTTCTCAAATCTGCTTACGCCTACTAATCCGCGGCATGGTAAAACAAACTGCTGTCAACTAGGTTTATTTGTGTGTTTTATGGCAAAAAAGTCACAAAAGTGCGAAATAGAATTTTTAAAGATCAATCCACTCCTTGTTTTTCGAAAATAACTTGACTTCGCATACCTGAATCCACCTGACATCCACGAGCGTAAAATCCAATTTTCTGTTCCTCGATAGGATTTACTTGAGAATCGTCTTGGTTACATTAGTGTTGCCCTGTAGCACGACACGTAAAAATAAGTAGCTTTGACATGTGATTTTAAATAACGTAGGAGATTACGTGGACATCAGAAAACGTAAGATTTTGCCTAATCTTGACCCGTTTTCTCTCCATAACACAGATTTGACATGAATTCTCCGTTAATAACAGGTTTTTGTGCCTCCAATCAGTTTAGTAAACAAAACTAATCACACTAACTGTATGCAGTGCTACCCTCTGAAATGCCGACCACGACATTTCATGGGTTAGGTCATCTACTGTAACTCTGGACCGACGGTTTTTTCTCTTGCGCTTTAGACGCCGTCAAGTCCTCTTTTCCGTGTTTTATAGATCACGAGATTTCTTTATGCACCAAACCCTACTAATACGCTATTGCAAGATCTGGTTTTCTTTCCTCTCAGCGTGTCTCCGATCACCGATCTCGGAGAAATCGTCCAGTCCTCGGCATACATCCTGTTTTATGAGAGAATAAAGGAACCACAGTTGGTAAGTCGTGGATGGACGCAGTTTCTGATGGCACTTACCGTTCTTGGTGTCGATGTTTTGGCTTTTTATACCCGCTGTAGGTACTGCCGGTAGTCAGCATCGCGGATGTGAGAACCCTTTTTAGAATCATTTTGTTTGCTAGGTAACGACTTTTCTCACTGTGTGTGTACGTGTGGGTGTGTGTGTTGTACACTGAGCCAGGTGTTCATTCCCACCCCAAATGCCGTTGCAAAATGGTTTCTGTCGTTGTTTTAATCACAGACGCGGGTGCGTGCGTACACGCGCGTGCGTGTCAAACGTCCTAGATCTTACTTGAGAACATGAATAAAACCATTCTTTCTTGTACCCATTCCGCAGAAAGTGACGTCCGCTTTGAATTTTATACCTAAAGAAAGTTTATCTCTCGGTCTTGAGAAACTTGTTCAATTCCCTTATTATCTCTAACCGAACCTTCATTCATAAAGGTACAGGCATGATGTCGCATCAATGGACATTTCACGTTCTAAGCATGCCATAATTGAGAGCTTTTTCCAATCCGAAATATTCATATTGGCCCAACTGTGAGAAACTTGGCGCCTCGGTGGGAGTCGAACCCACGACAGCAAGAGGAACGCTTTAGTATAGCCAGCGCTCTATCCACCTGAACTACAAGGCCCCAAAGACGAGAGTTTGATCACATATGGATTATGAATTATTCAAAATCTGCCAAAACAGCCGAGTTACATGAGCCTGGTGGATTCTAGGCGGATTACTTTGGAAATCCTGATTCGGCAGCCAGCTTCCTGTATCAGATTTGGCGGATTCCAATCGTTGCAGTTGGCTGGGCGGGGAACTTCACCCAAATGTCATTAAACTTACGTCTTCCGGTGTGACCTTGTAGCTCAGGTGGTTAGAGCGTTGGCTGTGCTAAAGCCTTCCCCCTTACTGTCGTGGGTTCGAATCCCACCGAGGCGGATATCTTGAGATCATTTTGCATAATAGTCAGTATTACAACTCCACCTACGTAATCCTTCCTCATCGAAGAGACACTTCATGGGCTAGGCCCACCCACTGCACCTGCCTCGTGTTGAGGTAAAGCTCAAGGGGTCCATGAAGTTCTGCACACTGGGTGGAGGCCTTAAAACGGCACTACTGCCACCGAGAGGGTATTTTGCATTTCATGCAGAAACACCGTAGCGCGTTATTAATGGCTTTTGGTCTTATCTAGTTGTAGAAATGTGTTGGGTGTCAGGCCCATTCCAACTATTGTAGCTTTTCAGCTAGGAGCTCGTATTCAATTACTGTCCCCTTTCGGACCCCCAGGTTTCCCTGTCCACTATGTCCAAGCACATAGCCCTCCTCGTTCTCTGCCCCTTAGAAGTCATTAGAGGCCAAATAGAAAGTGTCAGATGTTTGCCACCTCTTCCTTAAATTCTTCAATTTGTTCCTCCCATGGTGGATCTGTATGTACCGGTAAGGCTTATGACAGTGCCACTGTCGTGTCCGATGATGTCCACCGTGTGTGTGTGCCCCGCAGCAGGATGAAAGCAGGGCCGGTGACTTGCGCCGGAGTTAGTTTCTCGTGTTAGTAGACTTGCGCCGCATCTACCACACTCCTTTCTCACTCACCCATCTGTGGCCCGATGTCAAGATTGAGTCGAGAAGACCCGGGGACGGAATCGGGCACAGGTGGCTGACGAGGCGTGAACCTGAGCCCTGGCGTGTCACCACATCCTCACATGTGTGTAGCATTTGTTATGGTTGTGCCTCCCCAATAACACCTACCGTGCCCAAATCTGTCCCCCTTGTTGGTTCGGCATATCTAACACGTGACACGTTGTACGCGGCACACCAGTGTGACTGTAACGATGGTTAACGACGAATCTTCAGCATTTTTTGCGAATTGCAAGGCACTGCTAACTCGTTGCCTAAAGAAGCCGTTCTCTACGATGTCGCAGGCTTGGCGACCCCGAATCAACCACTTAACGTTAAAACAGACCTAATGGTCTCTGGAAGAAGGTTAAAAAGAAGAGGAGGAGACGAAGAATAAGAAAAGTGCCCAGTAGATGTGACGAGATTTACCGACAATACGCTCCCTCCTCTTATATGCGGTGCTCATACAACCAATCCAACACTGCAAAGCCAGTGCAAAGACTGTACTTGGATAAACCCTCCTCGCAACTAAGCGCCTATCCACTGTCAAAAATAAATAATCTGACGAACCAGAATGCTTCAAAATGCTGCGTATGCAGATGGTGGGTGTGCCGACCGGCTCGTGACTCGCTGGCTTCCCCTGTCTCGGAGTGAAGTCACTGCGAGATAATCAGTCTTCAGGCCAATTTGAGTTTATAGGTTACTTCTTTGGCTACAGACAAATTCACCAGTTTGTTTATCGTTTTTTCAGTGTTTCTCAGTTTTCGTGATGTATCTACACCTTGCGACTGTTGACCTGTCAACAGTCCTCACACATTGTTGTGCCACAGTACACCCCGTCTCTCCTAAGGCCTTTTGAGACGTAAGAACTGGAAAGTTTGTATGTAGAACAACATTTTGATTGGGTATCTGCTGTCCTCCTCTCACCAAAGATTTTCTACCGTGGTCATCCAATGAATACTTTCTTCATACGCTAAATTTTAATTAACATGACCTTGAGCCGTCCTGCTCAAAAACATCAGGAATCAGAACTTTGTTCTAAGAATAACAGCGCTCTGTTGGGATAGAACCATTCGTCATCACACCCTGACTGGGGATTATCCGACTTTTGTTGGCTAGGTCGAGTTCATCGTTGGGACTGAGCATTGATATCCGTTTGTGCTTTCAAAGTCGTGTTTTTCTGTCTCAGTTGTCTCCAAGATTTACAACCTGGGTGAACGGTTTACACATGAGTGGTGACAGGTGTCTCTATCACCTCCGGTCTTTCCAGTTTCCCATGATAAACCTTTTATTTTGTCATTGGCTCCGAGGGAATGATCGCATTGTTTGTGAGGAGATGTCTCAGCACACGAATGAGCCCGCCTCAAAGAAGTCGATCGGCGTGAATTAGTGGCGACTTTAAGACTGCAGTGACGGGAGAAGGGAGTGTAGGAGAAACGAGGGTAAGATATCGTTTTGTAGCCCCACTTGATGGACACAATACTGTTGGGGTTGAGGTCAAGGGGTGGGGATTGCGGCTATGGGTTAGCGCAACTATTTCTCAATCATTGAAAGTTCAACCACGCACTCCCAATAGCTTTTCTTTTGCATACAACTACTTGACCTCGTCGCCCTATCAAATCACATCCGACCGAAACGAATAGGCCCACTGAAAGCTCACTTTTCCGGTCGTGTTTTACTGCCCTCCCTATGCGCATTGTTTACCGAGGGAAAACCAAAATTACAGGCAACTACTCAGGCCATCTGTAAATCTTAAAACTGAAGTCAAAGATTATCGATTGTTAAAGGTTGGCTTACGAACCGGGACATTTTTAATGTTAGACCTCCCGCAGTCAGTAGAAGTTCCGCTTGCACCTATCTTTTTGTTAACCCATCACTGCTAGTATGCTCTTTAATCCCGATTTACAGGATGACACTTAGAAAAAAACGGGAGACGAATCTACTCTCCCCCGTTGCATATTCTTCTTTAGCACCTGAGATTGTCCCACTTACCCGTTTGCTTCGAACCCCTTGTGGTTGGAGGAGTGATCCCCAGCATATCCGTTGTTATTTTTGGAATCTGACACCCAATGGCTAACCGCGTTGTTGCGTTAGATACATACGCGACCGTACATGCGTTAAGCTGAGGTTTTAGGTAATTTCTAGGGGAAGCAGGAGAAGGAGAAGAAGGAGCGACTGAATATGTTTCACAACGGATGCGCTGTGTAGTCTCCTCATGCGGAGGAATAGGACACGCTACAAAACCCTCACAACACACTAAACGCCATGACTGGAGACATTGTCACTGTCCCCATCCGGGCTTAGGGTTGAGCTATAGTGACTCCTTAATAATGCGGCCACTGTAACATCTTGTACAACTGTGTCCTCTGAGCTACTGAGAGCTGGCTTAACTTGTGTGCGGGTTACGACGTTTGTGCTCCACGCTCGGATGTGGGAGTTTCCACTGCATACACGCCCATCTCAAACCCTGTGTACTACAATTGGTCCAGGGGGGGGGAGTTGGACGAGAGAAGTCAGATGCCCCAGAATTTTCGCTCACTGAAAATTACCTCATGCTCGCTGGCCAACAGTTACCTCATCGGACAGTGATGGTGGTAGTAGTAGTGAGAGTCCTCATCTTCTAGAGTGGGCTAACTGTTACCGCCGAAATCGAGTTTGGTTTCCGGACACTGCCTTATTTAGTCTGCGTAAGTCCTTTATGCTGAATTTAAACTGAGCTTTTGATCGATAATGTTGTCTGCAAAATCCGACTAAACGCTGCCTCTTGGTTTCTTTTCCCTTTTTCTAGTCAATGGCCGACGAGGTCAAGTTCCAAATTGACTCCGAAGGATCGGAGCCTCGCACACCTCCTATTCGTCGAAAATAGTGAAATATCAACCTGTTCTTTCTCCACCCCCCGTCCCCTGCTTGTTAGCCGTAATGCACAAGTCGTTATCTCCCCCCCCCCCACTCTGGGCCACCACACCCAGAGCAGACCTGTCGTTGCCGCCAGAAGCGAACGTGAATACAGTTTCAGAAATTTGTACACAAATGTCCGCATTATTTTTGTTAATTCTTTGTAGTTTCCTGCATGGCCTTTCGTGCCTCCTCAATTGACGTGCTCAACTCCTACCCTCTCACTTCCGTCCATCCTCAAAGACGCCCCTCTCCCAACCCTACCCCTCGTCGGTTCCATCGGAGCCAGCTCTTGACATCGTACCTGTACTGCTTACCCAGGGTATACACGCACACGCACACTGTACATTATTCATTTCCTCCCTGAAATCAATTGTTTTCGAATACTTTCATATCGCGAGCTGCCGTTTTTTGTAACCCGAATGTTGTTTATCAGGCGTAAGCCAGGACGCCTGTACTTTTGCCACTGAGATCATGTCTAGCCTGGTTGGCTTTAATGATGTTGCTGATGGCATTTCACACACAGGCCCCAAGGTTTGTGGGTGTCTCCTATGCCATGATTAGCAAACCATGGCACTCGCAGCCGGGTGTATACTGGCAGTTCTCTGGCACTTGCTTCCCTGCCGGTAGATGTGCTTGCGTTCCCACTGGGCATACAGGCCGTGTGCATGGCTGTCCAGCCATCCACGCCCTTTCTGTTGTTGTTATTGGTCAAAATCCTTATCAAGTGTTTGTTGTGGATTAAGGGGTGTGGGATGGAGCACCAAGGTGCGGGTTCGGCCGCGCCATCCACTTACGCCCTCCCCGCCGTCGGTCTAGACGCCGGATCTAGGTGGGGAGGAGGAGGGATTGCGGTAGATGATGCGCAAATCTACGCTCACCATAAACTAACTAAAGCTTCACCTTGCTGTGGATCAGACTATGGACATGGTCGGATGCGACGGTCAAACTATCGCACATGGATGACAGTCCTGGGTAGACCAATCAGCTCTCTTCAGCATTGAGAACCAAATACCGTAGATCCGTCAGGTACCCCTTCCACCAGATTTTCAGCCGATCGCCTCTTTTTTCCCGTCGGAAGTGGGCGACAGCACTGATCTCATGGGCTGGGCTGCGACGAACCTGTCCCAAACCACCCCACTCGTCTTTCATGGATGGCCTGAAATACCTTCGTGATATTTTCGCAGCTGATGCATTTCACTCTGAGAGTGGTTCTTGAAAAACTCCAATTTTTCCCCCTCTCCCCAGCACAGGGCCTGGAATTCACAACCGTACAGGAGACCTGATCGAGCAGACTATCGACACGCAGGCGCTCAAGCATCTTTATGGCGACTGGCGGATTCCATGAGGCTCCTCTAAAGGCCCGCAAATACCCTTCTGCAACCAGCACCGACTCGGACGACAAGGTTTTCCCTGCTCTATCTGCTCCACGGCTACTTCTTACCTAAATATTCGGGACTTCGTTTTGAGTTGACAAACATGAATAACCGAGGGGGGGGGGCGGCGCCATCTACCCATGGATACAGCTAGATAGTACTTTGGTTCTGGGTACCTCCATCCAGTTCTTTGTTTTGTCAGTCCTTGGGGTACTATATCATGTCGATTGGTTACCGCAGTTCACGCGAGCGTCTGCATGTAATCAGGTCCTGATGTCGGTGACCTGAATAAACACCACCGACCTGTCCGCTGGAGAGGAGCTGTTACCTGCAAAGGAGACTGCAATGTGGCTACCGGCTAGCTTTTCCTGGTCGTCCGGTCCTTCAGGACTAACTGTACTGCGGCGGTTATTGAACCATCACCGAAACTGCTGTCAGGCGCTATTGCTTTAAGCGGCTGTTTTATTCGGATCTTGTTATTGATATTAGGATGCCTCCGCTGCAAACGAAGCTCGAGCAACCTCCCAGATGTCGTACTTATCGAGACTATGAATATCCTATGCCATTCACACCAACCCTGTCGACTTGCCTGTTGACGGGGTGTCCAAACGGTGCGTGAGAACAGAGTTCGGTTCTTGATTTTTTTGAATGCAGGCAAGCCTGATTAGCATGAGCTGTTCGTTGTGCAGGTTCTCTTCAATTTAGAGCGCAGAATGGGCAACATTCTACTACATGTGTTGTGAATCACAGGATTAAGTCTTAATGAGCCTTATAGCTCAGAGACAGGACTTTCTCTGTACCGTCTTGGCCATCAGTCGGTCCCTTCTACAGAGGATTATGTCTGCCGGCAACAATCCGTGCCCACTTTGATCCTCTGGGCGCATACCCACTTGCTCTCTGTGATTATCTGCCTACTGCATGCCAGATGAAATGCCACCGGCTGTCACCACCCAATCACAAACCAGCTCGCTCACCGATGTCAGCGGCCGTCACCCGCCAACTCCTTACATCTGCAGCAGGAAATGAATACGCACCTCCTCCCCCATCCTCCCTAAATCTCGTCTTCCGCTCAGCAGAACACGTATCGCGCGTCACATGTTTTCCTATAAATGTACTGGTGAAGGCCCAAGGTGACGTAATTGAGCCCACTTCCGCATTTCCTCCATGCCTGTCAGCTAACGGGAGCTATCGTGGCTTTAGTGCTTCCGCAGTAGGGCAATTATACAAAATCAACGAACTTCGGGTCGTCTTTAAAAAGCAAAACTCAGAAGGGTCGTAAGATTTGCCGAAACCGTTCAAATGGCTAGACTAATGTAGAGGTGATATGTCGGAACTCGCAATAATGCGGGTGTTTGGTGTTTTTGTTTCAGATCATTGCGTCTTACTAGGCGTTTTTATTCAACGAGGTACGCTTCGAAAAGGTGAAGTTCTCCTTTTATTGAGGTATTTTGGTTGCTCGAGGCCTTAGTTAAACCTGCCAAATAAAATTATCATGCGACGTCGTAGTAGAGTCAGTAGACATTAAAATTATTGCAGAGCAAGTGCTCTTTTAGGATTGGTTGAAACTCTTTATGATCTCTCCCGCTCCTTGGTTGAGGAGGTGTTTTTCTGGTCTTTGTTGTCGGTGCTTTTAGAAACAAATTTGGGGATTACACCGGCTATGCAGAAGTCAGTCATTACCAAAAGACTGACGGGAGTTCCATTGGTAGCCTAAAATTATGAGTTTACCGAATACAACTCTCTGTAAAAATAAGAAACATAATAGGGCCTAATTCCCGAACCGGTTCGAATTGCCCAAGAATAGAGGAAATAGCTTTTCAAGCTTGCAGGCACTTTACGGTCTTCACTGGTTTTATGGAGTCATTAGGTCGACAATATTGTTATTATTATTATTTTGCATAAGACATCGCAGCGTTAAGTGGGATTTATCTTAAACGCACACTAACTGTCTAGTTGGATAAATACTAATGCATTCGTCGCGAGTCAGAACTACGTATATAGGATCGCGGACAATGTAATCAGTCCTTTCCCTATTAAAAGGAACTAATGTCTTTAGGATTGTTGGAGAAATTCCAGGCAAGTTGACTTCTGCATTCAGAGTGAAAAGTCCATGCAAGATTTTATTGTTTCAGCGGCTTCGAAACTGCCGATAGAAGCGAATAGGCGAGTTCCAGGAAGCAGTTCAGAAGAAGATGTGATCACTGGAACATGCGTACTATAATTAGCAGCTGCTAATTATAGTACGCATGCGGTCCCAAGGCAGTTACATACTATAAATGACAGTTCGACCGTCGGTTTTGACGATGTCCACCGTGTGCTCTACAGCAGAGAGGAGCAGGGACAGTGATTTGCCGGTGGCTTGGTTTATACTAAGTGTAGACTTGCGCAGCATCTACCACACACTCTCCTCCTTCCCCACCTAGAGCCGGTGTCAAGACAGAGTCAAGAAGGCCGGTGACGGGGGAGGGCGCAGGTGGATGGCACGGTCAAGTCCGTACCTTGGTAAACCACTCCACACCCCCTGGTCCACACATCAAATAACCAAATGTTTGACCAACTACAAAGAATGGAGGCTGGCACGGCCGAAGCCACACCTAGGCGTGCCGCCACACCCGGCCCAGATCCCACTGAGTGGAAGTGTCATAAAGGCCACATTAAGACGAAGCCATTTCAGCCTGACTCTCAGACCATCAGCCGGCCGCGTTACACAAATACACGGCACTGGGCCGACTGCGAGGTCCACTTTATCCCGTCAATTGGCAAAGTCCCAAGCCAAGGGTTTTGGCGCACTGTGATAGCTTCAAGCGTGTCAGATTGTTTATAGTAAGGAAAATTCGCTGAGTCGTCGCAGTCACGCTCCCTTCCCATTCCCAGGCCTCAGCCGCTGTCTGAGTCTGTCAGTTGACTGGAGCGGAGAATGGGCGCGGTGACTGACATAGTTTAGTGACCTTGTCTGTGCGCGCCACGTGCACGATCTGGACCCCCAAACACAAGCACCAGGACTTCACACTACGGGGATTGAGTGGCGTACCTCTCACATGTGTGAGAGTGTCACGCACTATAAATACTGCCTCCACTACCTTTATCTGCAACCGTCTCTGTTGATGGGTTCGAGTGAGAATCCCGAAAAATCAGGCCACTAAACTGATTGCTCCAGTGATCGCATCTTCTTTTTCTTCTTCTGGCTTCAATACTATCCGTCGTATGGTGCCTGATTACTCTCTGCATGCGTTGGCTAACTTCTAGAAGTGTTGCTGGCAGTCAGGACAAAATAGGACGCACAGTTCACGCGTCTGTGTCGTAGAAAGACAGCGATTCCTAGACCATGAGCACCTACGGGATTTTTGAGCACTGTTCACTGGCTCGAACGTTCTCCCAGTCGGTTGATGTTTTGCGCCCCGTAGACAGCGATAACAAACATTAAAGGTTACCTAGAAGTGGCCTTCAATCAGCTGCCGTGATTCGATTGCAAAATGCGAAGATTCCAAATCGTGAATCTGCTTGGCAATCAGTCCTGTTTCCCTTAAACATTTTGACAGCGGTCCTTACCGATGGAATTTTATCCGAAACGCGAACGGGCGCAGGAACTGCAGGCACGGTGTCAACATTCACACCTCATGGGGGGATGGACTTTAAACCTGTCGATGTCACTTGTGAACGTTACGTGATAACCACACTGAGTTCACTGACGTCCAGATGTGATGTCTGGTTAAGACCCATGAGGCGTAACAGGCGTGTCTCACACACCGTATCCATCGATCGTCCAATAATTTCGGACGAACGTATTATAGTAGACGGGAGTTCTGTCGGGGAAGACGATCCAGGAAGAAAGTAGTCTTGGAACGCACTTAGATTATTACTGCGCTCATGACCAGGCTAAGAAAATAGATGCAAAGTGCAGAGAGTTTCAGGGCACGGTAAGAAATGGTTATGTAGCCCCACCTGATGGACACAATAATGTTGAGGTTGGGGTTAGGAGTTAGGGTTAAGGGCTAGGGTTGGGGATCAGGGTTAGGGCAACTATTTCTCAACCACTCAAAATACAATTGCGCATCCCCAATGACTTTTCTTTTGCATACAACTACTTGACCTTGTCGCCTGTGCGTTTCCCGGCTCCACCTGTAAAAGCCCCTATTACCACCGGTCCCGTATTATAGGTGACTGGGGTTTGTTTACTTCAGGTAGGGCTACATAACCACATCTGACCCAGAGCACTTTACGCAGTTTGTCTAATTGCATTATCACATTAACATTAGCATTGTGAAGCAAATTTGAATTTATGAATGTCTGACTGTTGTGATACTTGGCATGGCCGGATAACTTACACCGTCAAATGGAGTCAAAAGGTCTATCTTCTGATTTCAGACTGGGAGCTTATCGTTCAGTCCCGACTTATAATTCAGTGGCATGAAAAATGAACCATTACAGTGTGTAAATTGACGCGCCAGATATGTGAGATAAGCTACATCGTTTACAAGCAATAAGATTGCAATGAAATGAATGACGCAGTAGCAGAGTTACGGGCCAAATTGAAACATCATGTTTTCCTAGCTATTAAATTTAATCTTCCTGACCCACCTTTTCATTTTACGTCAGCGCAACAACGCTTGCTATGAAAGCCAGAATAGCACTGCCGAGGTGTTAGCCTGCGGTGTGTGGGCGTTAAAAGGAGGATTCGCACGTGGTCAAACACGATCTAGCACGCCGCCCGCATGCTATCCCACTGAAAAAACCCTATTTTTAGGTGGATTCCGTCAACGCCTCCGCCCGCCTTTATTGACAGTTTGCAAGAGGGAAAATCAGTCTTACTCAAGTTAATACCGTGGTTTTGCTTGCAAAGGAGAAGGGACTGGTGGACTACAGATCGCTTCCTGACGTCAATTGTTTTTTTGCTAGGATGTTATTATGTAGCCGCACCTGATGGACACGATACAATCGACCTACTTAATTATTTCGAATTGGTGTGACTACATTGGCACGGTA